GAGCTAGGTACCAAAGGCATCCTCCAAACTAGAGTTAACATTTATGGATTCATGGATCTGACAAGTACATAAGCCTCCAGTCTGGCAGATGTGAGCATGTGTGCTCACTGGTGAGTTCCAGTTTAGTAGGGAGTACAAAAGAAACAAATGGTTACTAAATAAATTAGCAGCACATAAAGAAATGACAAATGCTTTGCAAATCTGAACTTTTTTCATGACGTGTTATTGAGCCACTATCTCACAAGGCTCCATGGATGAATGTTTGGAAAACAAGTTATTGTGAATAACTTTTAGCTGTAATAAACACATTGGGAAAAAAATACAGATGTTAGCCATTTTGGATGTTACATATTTTTATTGTTGAATGTTACATTTCTTTCTTTCTTTTTTCCTTTTTTTAATTTCAAAGTATTAAGGGGATACAAAATTCTATCTTTTTGGTTACATAGATCTCTTTTATAATGCTTGAGTCATGGTTCTAAGTGTGCCCATCATCCAAATAGTGTTTCTACACCCATTAGGTAGGTTTTTGCCCCTTGATTCCCCCTCTTGGATTGTCACTAAGTTTTACATTCCTCTGTGTACACCTGTGCTCCCTGGTGAGTTCCAGGTTAGTAGTGAGTACACGTGGCGTTTGTTTTTCCATTCTTCAGGTATTTCACTTAAAATAATGGTGTCTGATTCCATCCAAATTGTTGACAAAGGCTTTAATTCATTCTTTTTTATGGCTGAGAAGTACTCAACAGTATACTTATACCACATGTTATTAATCCCTTCATGAATTGAAGGGCACTTAGGTTGAATCCACATCTTCGCAATTTTGAATTGTGCTGCCATAAACACTAGAGTGCAGGTGTCTTTTTGATAAAATAACTTCTTTTCCTTTGAGTAGATATCCGGTAGTGGGATTACTGGATCAAAGGGTAGATCTATTTTTTTTTTTTTTTTTGAGACAGAGTCTGACTCTGTTGCCCCAGGCTACAGTTCCATGATGCCATAGCTCACAGTAACCTGGAAGTCCTGGGCTCAAATGATCCTCCTGGCTCAGCCTTCCTTGTGTATCTGGGACTACTGGCATGCACCACAATGTCCAGCTAGTTTTTCTATTTTTAGTAGAGATGGAATCTGGCTTTTACTCAGGCTGGTCTTGAACTCCTGAACTTCAGCAATCCATCCATCTTGGCCTCCCAGAGTGCTAGGAATACAGGTGTGAGCCATCACACTTGGCCCTCCTTTTAGTCCTTGGAGAAATCTCCATACTTTTTTCCCATAGAGGTTATATTATCTTGCAGGTCTACCAACAGTGTAGAAGTACTCTTTTTTCTCTGTGTGCATGTGAACATCTGTTGTTTTCAGACCTTTTAGTAAAAGCCATTCTAACAGGTTTTAATTTTCACTTCTCTGATGATTTATGATGTTGAGCATTTTTTATACGTTTATTGGCCATCTGTCTATCTTCTTTTGAAAAGCTTCTGTTCATGTCTTTTGCCTATTTTTTAATGGGGTTAGTTGTTTGTTTTCTTGCTGATTTGCTTGAGTTCTTTGTAGATTCTGGATATTTGCCCTTTATTAGATGTATAGCTTGCAAATATTTTCTCTCATTCTGTAGGTTGTCTATTTCCTCTGATTGTGGATGTTACATTTTTAAAGGAAAAATATACAAATAAAAAATCGCGTACCCCCCCCCCCGCCCCCGCACCCAGCTCGGTGCCTGTAGCCCAGTGGTTGTGGCACCAGCCACATGCACCAAGGGTGATGGGTTTGAACCTGACCCAGGCCAGCTAAAACAACAAAGACAACTGCAACAACAATAAAAAATAGCTGGGCATTGTGGTGGGCGCCGGTAGTCCCAGCTACTTGGGAGACTGAGGCAAGAGAATCACTTAAGCCCAAGAGTTTGAGGTTGTTGTGAGCTTGACACCACAGCACTCTACCAAGGGTGACACAGTGAGACTCTGTCTCAAAAAAAAAAAAAAGTCACCCCCAAATGAAGTGAAAACTGGAAGTTTTTGAAAAATTACTGGTATTAAACAGAAAGAAGTAACTAATTATTGTTTTAAGTTTTATCTTTTCTTAAAACCATCAAACAAATCTGTCTGAGACACTGGATAGATTATGCCAACATAATCATTACGGTAAAAAAGAAAAAAAACAACAACCCAAAACTCATTTTGTCTAAGAAAATAAAGTGTCCTAGTGACCTCCACTGGTGACCAAACAGAATGGTAATAGGATTAAATGACACTTCTAGGGAGTTATCTGTGTTCATTATTTTGAGTTTTATAATTAACTGCAACAACTACGTTTGAGGGGCTTGAACCAGCACCGTGACCCTTCTGAGTATCTTCCTAACTTCTGCTTCCATGTGGTGGGACTCTGCACCCTCCAAGTGTTGAGAGACTAGAGAGAGAAGTGTTGGTCCCTTTGGACAGGTGAGCCAATCCCTTTTGCAAAATTTCAGAAGGAGCTCCCAGAACTGGCCTAGCTGATCAGGTAGAGCTTTCAGACCAGGAGACAGACATCTAAACCTAACAATACGCCTTAGTCTAAACATGTATCTGGGGACAAGTGTTAAATGAATTAGAAAATCTAGGAGTTGAAAGACATTAGAGCCACTTTGAATCAATGTAATCCAATCTAAGCCAATCTAATCCAATTCATAAATATCGATACCTACTTGTGCCAAGCACTAGATCAGGTGATGGAAATTCTAAGATGAGGCTTAATGAATACAATTATTAATATGTAACAATCTAAAAAGCCACTGTATGAAGGAGTGGTATGAAGGAGTGGTCCGTGGCTTTCCAGTATATATAATACAGAACAGTGAACATTTTAAGAATATATAATATGGCTAGTCGGTCTCCATTTATTTATGTCCAAAAAGTTGTGTTTATTTATGTCATAGAAAGCTATCAGTTACACTAACAAAAAGTAATCTCGTGTGTGGCCAAGATGGAGAGGGAAGACAGAAAACAGGAGTGGTGCCTGAGGAGGAGAACGGTTCGCATACTCATTTCCTTTAAGGAAAGGCCGTAGGGTGGGAATGGAGTGGTACAGCAGGCATAGCGCTGAAACTCTGCTCTGCCGCTCACTGGCTGCGTGACCTAGTTATCTCATCTCTTAAGCCTTAGTTTGATTATAGCGATAACTTCTGCTTTGCAGGACTATGCTGCGGATAACAATGCAGCTTAAGACCCTCACACATACGCATGTCCCGTAAGTGGCAGCTCTGCCAACCATAACTGCACAACACCACGTGGGTGAGAACAAGGGCACCCTCAGGGCAGTCAGTCCTCTTCTCTGGGCTCCCAACTTTCCAGACACTTTTCTAGATGGGTGTAGACCCCCTACTTGATGCTAATCATTTTTACTTTTTTTTTTTTTAGAGGCAGTCTCACTTTATCACCCTTGGTAGAGTGCCGTAGCATCACAGCTCACAGCAACCTCCAACTCCTGGGCTTAGGCGATTCTCTTGCCTCAGCTTCCCGAGTAGCTGGGACTACAGTCCCCCGCCACAACGTCTGGCTATTTTCTGTTGCAGTTTGGCCGGGGCTGGGTTTGAACCCGCCTCCCCCGGTATATGGGGCTGGCGCCCTACCCACTTAGCCACAGGTGCCACCCTAATCGTTTTTTCTTTAGATAGCTTTCCCAAAAATATCTTAACCTTATCTCAGTACTGAAGGTCGACCTCCCTGAGATCCTAATGTTTTATTATCTTTCAGTGTGCACTGCTTTTTGTTTTGTTTTATTTTGGAAGCATCTTAAGTGGCTAATGGCCACTTCCCGAAATTATTTTATTTTTTACTACGCTTAACTCTCAGAGAGCAGCCTTACATCCAAATTCTGGGAAAACCATACTTGCCTAATGATAGATAAAAAAATTGATCTTTCTTAACTCCAGGGGATGTTTTAGAGGTGAAAAGAATAATTTATGAATGATTGTATTATTAGCCTGCAGCGGAACTGCTCTGGTGGCTCTGCAGGATTTTTACATTGGTGATACCTTTGGGGGATGGAGAATAATTGGAAATTCATGTGCAGTTGTAATAAATAATATAGAGACATTTTATATATCTTTCACTCTATCCCCAACAGTAACATCCTATATAACCACAGCATAGTAGACATCAATACAATTCTTCAACCTCACTCTTCTTCAACCCAAACTCTTTCACCCA